CTGGTTGCTTCTTGCTCTGACTGAGGACTGCTGGGAGCAGGGGGTGGGGCTTGTTGCATGTGCCTGCCCCCTGGGCTCTTTATTGCCGGAGCTCCGCTCCTGTGCACTCCTGCCGGAAATGACCCCTGTGCCTTCCCTTCCTGGTTAGTTTAAGGCACTGCAAAAATAAATAAATGTTTGAACAAAAAACGTAACATTGAAGGGGGGCGGGAAAGCCACTCAACAGCCTTCTCCATTCAACTGCATTTTGGCAGCAGCCAGGTGGCTTCGAGAGTGTCTAATGAGTTGGACACGGACTTTGATGGCTGGCAGGAGCCAGGTGGTACGTTTTTTGTTTGATCTGTCGTCCTTGCACACCACCAGGTTGTTGGTTTTCAGTTTTCCTTTTAAAATATTTATTCCCTCTCCCCATTTATTTATTTTTTTTAAAAAAGGAGTCCTCTGTTGACAGTTCTTTCGCTCTTCCATGAACGTTAGAACATATGACTGCATCAAGCGGGCTTCAGTCTCTGGTGCTGACATCTTTTTTTTTTAATGCCCACATCGTTCAAACATTTGAAAAGTGTTAATGAGCAGATCAAAAGAACTGTTGCCTGAAGCAACTCGTTTTTTAAATTTAATTTCGTTCAAAAAATAAAAAAGAAAGAAAGAGGGGAGATATCGGCTGTCCTCCAAAAATCCGGCCTTTAATTTTTATTTTTTTGTGTATGTGTGGCTAAGTGAATGTGAAGCAGCCCTTTACTGACAAGGATAATCATGAAACCAAACCTACTGAAATTGGAGGAGGCTCAAACTCTGCATATGGTAAATAAAATGGACCTTGGGACAGTATTTAAGAAATGTGAATTAAACAGAAATGCTGGCTGCTTTGCAATATTATGTCTTTTAACATCTGCAAGTTTTCAGGCTGCAGAAGTTGCCTATGCTTCTTTTATATATTTTATTTTTTTAAATCAAGCTAGGGGTGGGTTCCTGCTTATCATTATATTCTGAAAGAGCAAAAAAAAAATCAGTCCAGAAAAAACATTTCTTTATAGAGATCTCTGTGCCTGCATCCTTATGCCAGGGCTATCTGCTGGAGATCGGTATGCAGCTCAGCTCTTTAATGCATGGGTTTTTTCCCGTCAGTTCTGGCCCAATATTGCTTCAGTTTATCCCCTGATTTCCATGTGTATTTCTGTTTTCACTTCATTTTTTTGGTTAGTTTTTCTTCCGAGTTTTTCCCAGCACTTTTGAGACGAATATTACCCCAATCTTTTGCTGGAAGCCGAGCCTGAGTCAGCTTTTTCCTAGTGTGTAATGTTTCTATCCGATTTCTTTGTCCCACCCACCTCCAGCCTACTTTTCAATGATTCGCCCGTTGTCATCGTTAAACCACTCCGTGTCCCCCCCCCAGTGATTTTCATTTTTTAAAAACAGTTTTATTTATAATTTTTTAAGTTAACAAGAAAATAAACATATACAAAAAGTAAATATACATTAGAGTCTATTGTTTCATTCTTTTTCTATCCACTCATAGTCTCGACCACCTAGTCTCAAAAACCTTTTCATCCTTCCCATATAAAATTACATTCAGCTTATCAATTTCTGCTACATTCATTAATTTGTATAATATCTCTTCTCTTTGTGGTCTTTTATCCGTGCAAAATGATTTCCATTTTTAAAAGTCTCTAAAATATTGATATGTTGCTGTAGTGTTGTAATGCTAGTTTAAGCAAGTTCACTCAATTTCCAGGTTCCATTTTTTAAAAAGTAAGTCTCTAGTGTTTTCCCTCACAGAAATATAAGGGAAAAGGCTTCTCTGTGAGGGAATAGGGCAGAGACTTACTTTTTTTTTTTAATGAAAGCTGGGAATTTAGAGAACCTGCTTGAATTATCATTACAACACTACAGCAATGTATCAATATTTTAGAGCCATTAAAAATAAGGTGGGTGCTCTGACGCCAGCAATAATGACTCCTATGATGACAGCACCCTCCCTTGAAAATCCTCATTATTTAAGCCATGTGTGGAGGAAAATAAACTGACTCCACAGCTGTAAAAATGTACAGGGAGGGCACATGTGCAGAAGAACCCTGCCCAAATTCCAGTGCTTGTGGATCAATTCCCAAGAAAGTAAGGAATAAATCGAGCAGGCAGAAAAGGTCTCCGTGTGAGAGTGCCTACTTTCGTATGCAGAAAAAGGGCTGGTTGATTCCTTGGCGCAGTTGCAGTTTGTGGGGATTTGTAGCATATACCATTGCACTATTTTAGTAAATGTATGAAATACAAAGATGCCTTTGTTTAAAAAGGTAAAGGTTCCCTTGCTCGAAAGCCAGTCGAGTCCGACTCTGGGGGGCGGTGCTCATCTCCGTTTCAAAGCCGAAGAGCCAGCGCTGTCCGAAGACGTTTCCGTGGTCATGTGGCCGGCATGACTAAACACCAAAGCACACAGAACACTCTTACCTTCCCACCGAAGTGGTACCTATTTATCTACTTGCAATGTCTTGCTTTCGAACTGCTACTGCAAGCAAAATTACCAATATATATAGTACTCAAGTGAGAGATGTCTGCAAGATGCTACACTGTATGCTGCCTTAGCACATATATCTTAGTTCTGGGCCTTCACTTCTCCAGTTATGTGCAGCAAATGCAAAGCTTCCTCCACCCACATGGAGAGGTCAATGTAGCAGAAAATGAAGGGAGGCCACAGAGGGCAACTGGGTCTCCTGCTTTTGCTTGGCATGCCAGTTTACTTCTCGTGTCTTGGCTGCTTTCCATCTCTTTCCTGTAATCCCACAATTTGCTACAATCGGTCCCAGCTGCTACTGCCCATTTTAAGTCTAGCAAGGGATTTCTTCCAGGCAGGGGTCGTTTCGTAGAAAAAGAGCTAGGGGAACTCATTAGCATAACTCATTAGCATATGCCAGAAGCGGGGCGGCCGGAAGTGGGGGGCGGGGCTTCGTCATGTGCCCCACCCCCCGTACCTCACCCGGGGGAACTGCGATTCCCCGCGATCCCCCCCAAAATGACATCTGCTTCCAGGTTTAGGAGCTTGCTGGTTTCCAAGAACTGCATCACTCTTATCTTGGGTCCATTGTGGAAAGGTGAAGGTTTGGGTTTGTTTTTTTCGCCATGAAGTTGCAGCCGACGTACGCGACCCTGTGGGGTTTTGGAGGCAAGAGACATTCAGGGTTGGTTTGCCATTGCCTGCTTCTGCGTAGTGACCCTAGAGTTGCTTTGTGGTCTCCCATCAAAATGCTAACCTGGGCGAATCCTGCTTAGCTTCCAGGATCTGATGAGATCAGGCTAGCCTGGGCTACCAAGGTCAGGGCTTTATTGGACTTGCTATTATAAAATACTAACAGTGGTAACAATGGCCCTTTCTGCACTCTCCTTTTAATCCACGTTCACCACAATGTCCTCTAAACAATTCTGCACTGAAATCGAGTTCAACCTTCTTTTTATTCCAGTCCCCCTCCTAGGGCTGCCAAGTGGGGGCAGGGGGCGGGTAAGCCGCCGCAGAATCGGGCCCCGGGGGGAACTCCGCCCCCTGAAGCGCAGTGTGGCTGCGTCACCAGAGGTGACACAACCACGTCGATCACGTTGGGGGCGTGGCCCCAATTGTCGGAGGGAAAACTCTAAAACTCTATGGTTTTCCCTCCGACGATTGGGGCCACGCCCCCAACATGATCGACGTAGCATGTCACTTCTGGGACGTGCTGGCGGCGCGCGCACGTCAGAGGAGAGCTCCCGGACTCATACGACGCTCCCTCACCGGTAAGTCAATCAGACTTGGCAACCCTCCCCCCTCCCCCCATTCTGCATTACATTCCCTCCGTTCAGTGGTCAGCCCGGTTTCAGCCTGCTGTTGCCCTGGGTTATTTGGATGCTGTTTTGCCACGGACTGAAATGGCCTCAACTCGAACACGGAGAAAATCCAGAGTAGCAAGCAAACGTGGAAAGGACCAGTGACCAACAATGAGACTGGCACTGTCAGGAGGAGACTCGTTGAAATTCTCCAGGCAAAACATGGAATTTGGTTTGAATGGGTGCTGGCAGAGCTTGACTTGTGCAAAAACAGCAACTAGGACTCAGGTCTCTCTAGAAGCCATGCCCTCTGATCTGGAAGCCCTTTCCTCCGATTTGAAGAGATTTGAGAGGCTGGGATAGTTAGGGTTACTCTATGAGGAAGAAAATATATTCTTTATGTGCTCAAAGTCACCTTTTTCTTCACTACTGTTTCATATAGCTAGTTTTTAAAATTAGGAATCTGTGTTAAATATGGTCACTTCTTGTCCATGGGGGCTTGGGCAGAGGTCCTACTATGAGCATGTGGAATTGGATTAGCACAGCTAGCAGCTAGGACGGCCTATTCCTATGGGGCCTTAATTCAAGACCAGTAGTATCTTAAAAGGGGCTTAAAGTAGTATCTTAAAGGGGGCTGCGGTGGCTCAAGTGGTTAAGACGCTGAACTGCAGGCTGTGGAAGGTCAGTAGTTCAGCAGTTCGAGACCCGGGTGCCGCATGACGGAGTGAGCTCCCGTCTCTAGTTCCAGCTCCTGCCAACCTAGCAGTTCGAAAGCAAGAAATTGCCAGTAGATAAATAGGGACCACTTCGGTGGGAAGGTAACAGCATTCCCTGCGCCTTGGTGTTTAGTCATGCCGGCCACATGACCACGGAAAGGTCTTCGGACAGTGCTGGCTCTTCGGCTTTGTAACGGAGATGAGCACCGCAACCCTAGAGTCGGATTCGACTGGCTTTCGAGCAAGGGAACCTTTACCTTTACCTAGTATCTTAAAGACAGACACTCTTTTCCAGGGGGTATGAGCTTTCTTGTGAGTCAAAGCACACTTTGTCAGATGCCTGACAATGCCAGTTTAGACCCTGCCAAATGTTGTTGGTCTTTAAGGTGCTACTGGGCTGAAATGTTGCTCCATCGTGACGGAAACTGTGTGACTTTAAACGAGCTTTGTCGCTTGCCATGGCTGTCCCTTATCCTCTCTTTTTTCTTTAAACAGGTCATTAAGGATCCTCCCCCACCTCCACCTGCTCCAAAAGAGGTAGGTTGTGCAATTACACCAGGCAACTGTTGACACCCTTCCCCTCCTCAGACTGAGATGAAAAGACACAGATCTCGGTTCCTGCTCATGTCTTATGAAGGAAGCTCTGATTCTCGAAAGCTTGCACCCAGAAAAGCTTGTCGTTCTCTAAGGTGCTACTGGACTCAAGCTGTTCTACCACAAACCAACGTGGCTACCCTCTGAAACCAGGAAAGTAGTTACTCAACAGGGGCCCCTGCCACACGAGCGGGAAAAGCACGGCCAAAGTGCGGCTTCTTAGAGCCACACCAAAAGAGACACGCGGCGTCAGGGTCCGACAGATCCCCTGAGCCGCCGCGCAGCCGGGAAGGCGCAGAGGGCGGGGGGGGGGGAGCCACTGAAGGGAGAATGAGAGAGCCAGCTGCGCATGTGTGCGCATGCGCAGTTCGGCCAGGAGCCTCAAATGCTCCTGAAGACGGGCGCACCGGCGATCCCACGGCTGCGCTTGCTGCGGCGTTTCAGATAAGTCCTGCTCTTTTGCAGGTTCTATTTCGCTACGCGTTTCCGGCCTGAAGGGATGGATCGGGGACAGGTGCATGCCACTTCCCAGATGTTGCGGTGTGATTGCGCCTGTTTGCTGCGCCCCCGATCCGTCCCTCTTGCGAGGCAAAACCTCCCGTGTGACCGGGGCCAGGAATGCTTATTTATTTGTGCCACTTAAAAAAAACCCTTTAGGGGATTTTTGGAAAAATACAAAATTATTGATTTAAATATCATGAACATGTAAACATATTATAAACATCCATACCTGATAAACACCCATATCTTATGAGAGTTACAGACACACGACACAGACACCCATATAGAAAAGAGATGATGAAGAAGAAGAGATTGCATTTATACCTTGCCCTTCACTACTCGAAGGAGTCTCGGAGCAGCTTACAATCTCCTTTCCTTTCCCCATCCCACAACAAACAGCCTGTGAGGGAGGTGGGGCTGAGAGAGCTCTTGAGAGGACAGCTCTGAAAGAACTTGTAACTGACCCAAGGTCACACCAGCAGCTGCATGTGTTGGAGTGGGGAATCAAACCCGCTTCACCCATATTAGAGCCTGAACTCTTAACCACTACACCAAACTGGCTCTCCAGAGAGAGAGAGAGACAGAGACAGAGGAAGAAGAAGAAGAAGAGATTGGATTTTTACCCCGCCCTTCACTACCCAAAGGTGTCTCAGAGCAGCTTACAAACTCCTTTCCCTTCCCCTCCCCACAACAGACACCCTGTGAGGTAAAAGAAGAAGAAGAAGAGATTGGATTTATACCCCGCCCTTTACTACCCAAGGGAGTCTCAGAGCGGCTTACAAACTCCTTTCCCTTCCCCTCCCCACAACAGACACCCTGTGAGGTGGGTGGGGCTGAGAGAGCTCTGACAGAAACTGCTCTTTTTCAAGGACAGCTCTTATCAGAACTGTGGCTTGCCCAAGGTCATCCAGCCAGGTGCAAGTGGAGGATTGGGGAATCAAACCTGGTTCTCCCAGATTAGAGAGAGAGAGTGAGTTAAGGATATATTTAAACAAATGCCAGTTCTGCCATTCGTGAACCACTTTTCTCCCCACTGGGATCCACAGTGGCTCACAGGGAAAATATCAAATGCAGCCGATCAGTCAGTTCCAACAAATGCCATAAAACAAATGCACACATCCTGGAGTGATCCTGATGGATGAGACTGCCGAACACCGGCCCTAGGCTGTGAGTCCTGGGCAGACAGCCAGGGGTGAAGAGCCCCGTGTCTCATGCCCAGGAGCTCATGTCTGCGGCTCCTTCCAGGCTTTAAATACCTGGAGCAAGAAGGGAACAACTTTAGCCCAAGTGTCCCCCAGTTACTGCTAGCTTGCTGCCCACCAGGTCTCCCTCACTTCTCCTGCTGCTGCCATGTCAGTGCAAAAGAATCAAAGACATAAACAAATGGAAAAAATGGATCTTGATTTTGGTGACGTCGTCCGTATTGTGCCTGTCCCTGCCTTCTCCAGTAGCCGTCAGTCACGCAGGATGGGGCTAGGAGCAGTGTTCCCTCTAAGTGTGAGCTAGCTCACAGTTTTTTAGCCTCCGGCTCACACATTTTTGCCTTAGCTCAGGAAGGACGGCTCCAGAGCAAACTGATTTATGCAGGAGCCAGATTGCTCGCTCACAACTTTAATGCCAGTAACTCACAAAGTAGAATTTTTGCTCACAAGACTCCACAGCTTAGAGGGAGCATTGGCTAGGAGTGTGCAGAACCTGATAATGTCAGGACACACAAGGCAAAGGATCCTACCTATTTTGGGGAGGGAAGAACACTGTAGTATTTGGTTCCAGTCCTGGGGCAGACTTCTTTTACTGTGTCCAACTGAATGAAGCTTTTGCGTTTGAGACCTAGTTTGGTGTAGTGGTCAAGAGTGCGGACTCTAATCTGGGAGAAGCGGGTCTCATTCCCCACTCCTCCACACGCAGCCAGCTGGGTGACCTTGGGTCAGTCACAAGTTCTCTCAGAGCTGTTCTCTCAAGAGCAGTTCTCTCAGCGCTCTGCCAGACCTACCTACATCACAGGGTGTCTATTGTGGGGAGGGGGAGGGGAAGGAGATTGTAAGACACTCTGAGACTCCGACTGAAGGGCAGGGTATAAACCCAATCTCTTCTTCTTCTTCTAAACAGAACTCTTCATCAGGCACAGTACAGTGTACTCTGTATAACCAAATACTTAACTCACTTGCAGAAGTCTCTTCTTTGCAATGTGATTGTGGCTGTACCGATGGCAATGGCATCTCCGTGAATAATTAGTTTAACACACACACACCCCAGTCTGAATATTCAACCCTGCAGCAATGAATAAAGCCAAAATTGATAGCTGGGTGTATAGCACAGCGTCCCTGTATACACAGCATACTCTGTTAGACAGATTGGTTCTCCAGAAGTGCGCAGGTAAAGTGGCTATGTTGCTGAAATGGGAATTGGATTGTAATAGGCACTTCAAAATGCATCCCGCTGCAAATTGATTTTCCTCGCACATCACCAGGATGCTAGGTTTATGTGTTCTGGTCGTTGGAAGTGCCATAAGGAAGGTGGAGGGGGGGATTACTTTCTAATTCAGAGAATATCTTATTTGCTCCTTTTCCAAAAAGCAGAACTCGAACCAAGGAAGCATCTTCTGGTCATATCAAATATCTTGCACAGCTATGTATATATTTTCCCCTTCAGGGTCCCGTTTATCCAAATGCTTATTTTCAAGTCTCAAGAAGGACCCGGGTTAATCATGCACATGGCTAGAATATTTTAAGATGTCGTAAGGCAAAATGAATATGGTGTCATCGGGCATTTCGTCACTAAAATTTAATTAATAGTAGGCAGGGAATGTTCATTCCCTCTCTCCAAGGAATCGTGGGAACTGCAAATCTGTCTCTAGGTTTTTTTAAATCTCTGGCAGAGAATTCTCTGCACCTTTACCAAAACAAATCTACCAGAAAAGCAGTGCCAGATTGTTTGGGAGAAGCCGTGGTAGTTGAACCGTCGTAAAACCGTATGGTGTAGAGATTAACCAGTGTATTGTCTGTCAGCGGACCAGCAATTCTTTTGGTGGTGGCAGAGAGCTCTTGTTCAGCGATGCATAAGAATGCAGTTTTTCATTTCTCATAGTTTTTGTGCATATTTACTGGAAGTGATTTTAATCCCGCCCCTTTCCTTTGCCAGTTTCCCTGTTTCACTCTTCTGGAATAAGAATCGCTGTAGGTTGCTGCTATTGAACACTAATATGTGGGTTGTGCACATATTGTGCACATGGAACAGCACCTCCTCTGTCGCTGTCCCATGTTTCCTCTACAGTCTTCTAATGTATTGATTTTTCACACACCCCAGGAAGAAGAAGAAGAGGATCCCTTGCCTGCAAAAAAATGGCCAACAGTGGATGCTTCTTATTACGGCGGACGAGGAGTTGGTGGGATTAAAAGAATGGAGGTTGGTACTACGGAGGGATAGGTGTAACGGTGTGCGATACAGCACCGTGAGAGACCAATGACTCAGCTCTGTGCTTAGAATGAGCAATGCCAACAGCTGTAGTGGTACAGCCACCATACACACAAATGGTTTCATTCATTTCCCACCTTTCTTCCAAGGGACTCAAGGTAACATCCACAATGTGCCCAGGTGAACACGTGAGCTGCCTTATACAGAAGTTTATTCAAGGTATGAGGTTTCGTGTGCATGCACACTTTTTCAAATGCAGTGGAATGGGGGGTATTGTTCAAACTTATAGATGGGCTGAACAGCAAATTAACATGTAACATGATGAAGATACTTTAAGATATGCGAAAACAAAATTAAATAACAAGCTAAGGTTATAAGGTCAACCGCTGTAAAACAATAAATATGTCTGAGACTTATTTTGACATATTCATTGCTTTTCAGCGTATAACCTTAGCTTATTATTTAATTCTTAGCTTGTTATTTAATGACCTACCTGAGGGACCACCTTTCCCCATATATACCCCAGAGAGCACTACAGTCTGGGGCCCAACATCGATTGACTATTCCGGGCCCCAAGGATGCAAGGCTCACCAGTACCAGGACCAGAGCCTTTTCTGTGGCGGCTCCTTACTGGTGGAACGAGCTCCCGGAGGAGATCAGGGCCCTGCGGGACCTTCTACAGTTCCGCAGGGCCTGTAAGACGGAGCTCTTTCGCCAGGCCTTTCAATAGGAGCCGCCACTACTGTTACCATCAATGATCCTAGTGAATGCTTGGATCCTAGGTCTGGCTCAGATATATCGCTAGGCCCTTCGGCACGAGGGATGATGATTGGACGAATAATGTGGATTGAGATCTGGAAGCACGCCATCTAATCTTCAGTACTGTATGCACTTTACTGTTAATTGTTAATTTATGTCTTGAAGGAGTATGTTTTATGTGGTTTTATATAGTTTTAAGACTTTTATGGGTGTGCCTATTAGGTACATTGTACCGCTTTCTTAGCCGCCCTGAGCCTGCTTGCAGGATGGGCGGGGTATAAATATAATAAATAAATAAATTCTCTTTTCGCGTCTCTTAAAGCATCTTCATCATGTTACATGTTAATTCGCTGTTCAGCCCGTTTTACAAGTTCGAAACTTACCTCCCATTCCACTGTATTTGAAAAAGTGTGCATGCACACGAAACCTCATACCTTGAATAAACCTTTGTTGGTCTCAAAGGTGCCACCGGACTCCAAATTTGTTCTACTGCTTCAGACCAACACAGCTGACTACCTGGATCTGCCTTATACTGAATCAGACTGTCCCTCAAAGTCAGTTTGGTGTAGTGGTTAAGTGTGCGGACTCTAATCTGGGAGAACCGGGTTTGATTCCCCACTCCTCCGCTTGCAGCTGCTGGATGACCTTGGGTGAGCTGTCCTTGAAAGGGCAGTCTTTGAACGAGATCTCTCAGCCCCACCGACCTCACAGGGTGTCTGTTGTGGGGAGGGGAAGGGAAAGGAGTTTGTAAGCCGCTCTGAGACTCTGAGTGAAGGGCGGGTTATAAATCCAATCTCTTCTTCTTCTTCTTCTTCTATTTTCTACTCATACTGGCAGCATCTCTCCAGGATCTCAGGTAGTGAGGTCTTTCATATCACCTACTACTGGACCCTTTTACTCAGAGCTTGAACGTGGGGCACTCTGCATGCACAGCAGATGGAGGAGCCCCACCCCTAGGGCCCCATTCGGACACACTTGGCCTGATTTAGCAGAGGTGGTCTTCTTTTGGGTCCAAGGACCCATCTTTTGGCTTCAGAGGTTTGTAAGGTCACACTCATGTTTCCGCGCCAGCTTGGATTCTTGAAGCTGAAATTGGCTTTTATTAACAGAGTTTGCTAGATGCTCATTGTAACCGATTGACTCGCTCCCCCCATGATGTCAGTCCCTCTAGAATGTCTCCTTTTAGCTTTAGCACACTTCTAGACCGATTCAGAAGGAACTGATTTCATTACTTCCAGCTCCTCGGAACTTCAGTGGCTTTGAAAAAAGGCAGAGTAACTTGTTCCAGCAAACCAGTGGAAAAAAGGAGAGAGCCGAGAGCGAGCGAGGCCTTTCAAGGCAATCTTGATTTTTTAAAAAAAAATTCCTTTGGAAAATGTGATAGCAAACCATGAGTATTTCAATTGTGGGGCAGCCAAGGAATCTTACAAGGGTGACATTATATGGGATGTTTTGCTTCTGGTGCAGCTAGCGAGTGTTCAAAAGAGACTGGACGTCTGTGGTTCACATCTCATGAACTCACTGGATGGCCTTAAGGTGAATTAATGCCAGTGTATCGCAGTGATAAGAAAGGCAGCTTAGAATAGCGGAGACCCAGTTTGAAATTCCCCTTCAGCCGTGAAGTTTGCTGGATGACCCAGGGCCCAGTCATTCTTTTTTGGTCTAACTACCTTTCAGGGTTGTTGTGAATATAAAATGGAACGAGAACCTGGGGGGGGGGAAGAGGGAGGTGTTCATCCATTTGTCTCAGTTCCACGTCTGTAGTAGGTAGTACAGGCAGTGAGAAATGATACACAGATCATGTGTCAGCCTTTAGTTTGCTCACTGACCTGATTATCTGAAGCCCATTTCTTATATTTAAAATTTATACATTTAGAATTTGTACATCTCTTAAAAGATGCATCTTAAGTACATAGCAGTATCATTATTCAAAGATAAGATCTTCTATATTATTTTTACAAACGTCTGCAACTCACAAAAACCTGGAAACAAGGAATCTTAAAGGTGTCCAGAGATAAAAATAATGCAAAAATAGTCTTCCTATGATCTGTTCCCAAGTGTCCTTCGATAATCTGCATAGATGTGATTGATTTCTCCGTTTCTAACATTTGCAGGTCATATTTGGGACTGTGTACTCAGTTTTGATCTCCTCTTCAACCTTGACAACCTGTAGGTCACCGTTAAATGCATTAGAACAGTCTCTTCAGTTTTAATGCCAGAACTAAACAAATCTTAGCACATGCTACAAAACCACACTACAAATCCTTATTGAATGTAGGACAGAGCAATCCTAAACAGATTTACACCTTTATAAATCCACTGAAGTTAGCGGGCTTACAAGGGTGTAACTTTGTTTAGGACTGCATTCCTAATTCTTATTGGGGGTCGTTATTCTGGTTTAGAAGTCTCCTTCAGTTACTGCTATGGAGAAGGAATTTGGCTCTTTGCAATGAAAGAATCCAGGAACCTATCCCTAGGAGATATTTATAACCCCACACTGGAAAGTCAGGAAGATGCCAAAGAGGCAGGAATATCTCTTTCACCAGAGGAGATAGCTCTGCTCCCTTCCTTAGCTTCAGCCCCAGAAACTGCACCAGAGGATTTTCTGCCACTCTGCTGCAGACAGTAGAATGTATTCTAGCCCCACTGGAGCACCCACCTCCTCAACAGGGCACGGCCTCTTTAAGACGGAGTACTCTTTTCCAGGGAGGCAGGGCTTGAGACACCCACTTCTCTGTAGGACTCCTTAAGCCCTTGTTAGAGCTCAGGCCATTGCTGAAACAATGTTCCGAATGCCTTGTTTTCCACCATGCTTGTATCTAGCCCATGCAGGGAATGAAGTAGGGTTTTCATGTCCACCAACTCTTTAGGACCTTTGCCTCATTGGTATCCTGTGAACATCAGCTGGTGCACAGAAGGTCCTGGGTTCAGTCTCTGGCCACCTTATACTGTCACACATGAAGCCACCTTATACTAAGTCACACTCTTGGCCCATCAAAGTCAGCATTTTCTACTCAAACTGGCAGTGGCTCTCTAGGGTCCCAGGCAGAGGTCTTTCACATCACCGACTGCCTGGTCCTTTTAACTGGAGATGCCGGGGGTTGAACCTGAGACTTGTGTACCAAGCAGATGCTCTACCACAGCCCCTCCCTAGTTAAAAAAGGATCCGGTAGGAGACGGTGTGAAAGAGCTGAGACCCTGGAGTGCTGCCAGTCAGAGTAAGCAATGCTGAACTTAGGCCCTGATCAGATGTTGCGCTGGCACAATTAGACCCGCCAGAACGCAGTCAGACGCGACGGCGGCACACCGTGGTTTTGTCCGTCAGCCGGCGCAACAGCGCGTTATTTTGCCCCGGGGCAAACAGCCACGCTCCCCCCCCGCGCATTTTCCTTCCCGTGTGCTCGCGGCCTGTGTACATCAGCTGGTGCACAGAAGGTCCTGGGTTCAGTCTCTGGCCACCTTATACTGTCACACATGAAGCCACCTTATACTAAGTCACACTCTTGGTCCATCAAAGTCAGCATTTTCTACTCAAACTGGCAATGGCTCTCCAGGGTCCCAGGCAGAGGTCTTTCACATCACCTACTGCATGGTCCTTTTAACTGGAGATGCCGGGGGTTGAACCTGAGACTTGTGTACCAAGCAGATGCTCTACCACAGCCCCTCCCTAGTTAAAAAAAGGGTCAGGTAGGAGACGGTGTGAAAGAGCTGAGACCCTGGAGTGCTGCCAGTCAGAGTAAGCAATGCTGAACTTAGGCCCTGATCACATGGGCCAGATAACGCGGGGGGGAGGCATGGCTCTTTGCGCTGGCGCAATTAGACCCGCCAGAACGCAATCAGACGTGACGGCGGCACACCATGGTTTTGTCCGTCAGCACGTTCGCATCAAGGACAGCCGGGGGAAAGCCGCATGCCGGCGCAATCACACGGAACGATTCCGTCGGCAGCCTGTGGCAAACTATTTGCTAGTACATTTGTTGAGATACTTTTTAACCATGCAGCTTCGGCGGCATGCCAGGGGTTGGCCACGGGTCCGCTACACTTGCCAGACGTTGCGGTGTGATCGCGCCCTGAACATCCGCCCAGCATTCGTGGCTCTCCCGCGGCAAATTCGGCGTGTGAACGGGGCCTTAGTAGACTCCGTATGTGGCAGCGTTGTATCACGTCTTCTGTTCATGTTCCTGCAGGCAGTAGCTAGAAAGAGAAGAATCTCCAGCTTATGGGTCTGCTGGCTTCCAGTTTCCAATCACACAGCTTCCCCCAAAGTATTTTGTGGATAGATTAATCTGTGGCAGGTTAAGAGCTTTCGTGAGTCGCTGCTCACTTCTCATTCTGAAGAAGGGAGCAGCAACTCACGAAAGCTCCTATCCTGCCACAAATGATGACAGTCTTTAAGGTGCTACTGGACTCTTGCTCTTTAGTATTTTGTTTAAAGGAGAAAAACATTAACATGGAGTGGGCTATGACTGGAGGAACCTGAAGACAGTGGTTTGGATCCTGTGGACCTATTCCACTTGTGATTATGTTTTCCGTTGACACGAGGGAACTTCTGGTGCATGCCTTTTATGTTGGAGATGGCTACTTGCACCAGGGCCAAGTCCCACCGGTTTGCTTAAGAGGTTAGGGTTTTTTTTCATTTAGCAGAAGATCACACTCAAGGCTGGCAGCAGCACAGTGTCCTAGCAAATCAGTTGGATTTTGCACTTCACGTCCAAGCGCCTGGTAACGTGTCTTGGTTTGCTTAGGTTCGCTGGGGTGATAAAGGATCAACCGAAGAAGGTGCCCGGCTAGAGAAAGCCAAAAATGCTGTGGTAACCCTCCCTGAAGAAACAGATGAGCCATACCAACCTAGACCACCAAGACCTAAACCTACCTCACAGCTTCCTCAGACCAAGTGGTACACACCAATTAAGGTACTCTTTAAGTCTTCATGCCATATAACGCCGTGCTTTAAAACAAATGGACGTTATCTGTAGAATGGTTGGGCGGTCTGGAGGACCCAGGTTTGTATCTGTGCTGGCTTAAGGTTGCCAGGAGAAGGTGTTGGCGATGACAGCTAGTGTGGTGTAGTGGCTAGAGAACTGGACTACGACCTGGGACGTCTGGGTTCTAGTCCCACTCTGCTATGAAATCCATGGGGTGGCCTTCAGCATACGAGCAACATAAGACTTTGCCTGTGCTGGCTTAAGGTTGCCAGGAGAAGGTGTCGGCGATGACAACTAGGGTGGTGTAGCGGCTAGAGAACTGGACTACGAACTGGGACGTCTGGGTTCTAGTCCCACTCCGCTATGAAATCCATGGGGTGGCCTTCAGCATACGAGCAACATAAGACTTTGCAGATTTCCCCCTATGAATATTGACGGGCTGCCCTATTAATATTTTTTCATTACAAACTGGAAAGCTGTTTTGCTGATGTTTACCTTGGAAACAGTTGATGAGTCCTTAAAGAGTTCCTTAATCAGCCTCTACTGAAGAAGACAATTTGAAACAAAGTTCTGAAACCCGGAGTCTTCGTTGTCCGTTGTAGACTTATCTGTTGGATTAATAATATTGCAGATTTGCCTGTTGGATTGTTGAAAGCCTACCTGTTAAAACAGTGGAGTGTTGCCAACTGCACTGTCCAGCTGTGGTGGCCCAGGGTCGCTCCTAGGCTCAGCAGCATCAATTTCTTGATGCATGTGAGTGGTGAGACTTGCTAAATGGAGGGGCAGACGAATAATAAGCAGGCGGTATTTTCTTAATAGTGGAAGGCACAACAACTTTAAATCACCAAGAGTGCAGTCCTAAAATCCTATTGAATGCAATCCTATCGAGAGCCAGTTTGGTGTCGTGATTAGGACCTTGGGCTCTGATCTGGGAGAACCAGGTTTGATTCCCCATATCCTCCACATGCAGTGGCTGGTGTGACCTTTGGGTCAGTCGCAAGTTCTCTCAGAGCTGTTCTCTCAAGAGCAGTCCTCAGAAGGGCTCTCTCAGCCCCACCTACCTCACAGAGTGTCTGTAGTGGGGAGGGGAAGGGGAAGGAGATTGTAAGCTGCTCTGAGACTCCTTACGGGTAGTGAAGGGCAGGGTATAAATCCAATCTCTTCTCCTCTAAAATTGCTTTCCCTCGACTAAGCCTCATTGAGTAGGATTCTGAGTAGACTTGCTTAGAGCTGCACTGGAAAACTGTTAAAAGGTGATTCCCTCCAACCTTGGGGAATTTACTCATCATCTGTTTCGACTAGTCAAAAATCCCTTTAAACAAAGGAGGGGTAGAATGGCTTTACTAGACGAGATTGTAAAAGATGCGAGATGCTGATTTCCT